GAGCACTGCCTGCTATTTTAAAGAATACACCACAAAAGTTTTATGATGAACTTGTTGAAACACTCCAAAATCATGCAAATATTGCATATCAATTGCTGAAGGAAGTTAGAGGATTAACTCCAATAATGCCAAAAGGTGCAATGTACATGATGGTTGAAATTGATATGATAAATTTCCCAGATATAAATGATGAATTGGATTTTGTACAGAAACTTGTTTGTGAACAAAGTGTGTTTTGCTTGCCTGGAAAGTGCTTTGGAATTGATAATTTTATGAGGATCGTTTTGACAGTTCCAAAAGAAATGATTATTGAGGCATGTGAAAGAATTAATGAATTTTGCGAGACTCATTATAAACCTGTCAAGAATGGATTTGAGATAGAGGATATTCCTATAGATTACATAGATATTAATGGGGATTGATGAAGCAGAGATCGAAGTCGCTTAGATCGTCGGCTTAAAATTCGGCTCACGTAAGCCGTTTTGTAAGTCGGCTTAAAATTCGAAATAGTATAAATTTCGTTTTGATGAAAAATTTCTTAAGATGAAAATTTTGTATGAAAAGATGAAAAATGATGAAAAAAAGATGAATTTTTTTAATAATTAAATTTTTATTATTAAAAAATTGACAATTTAATTTTAAAATTTAAAATCGTTGTTAAATCAACAAGAAGTTATAACATAAACATTAATAAAGTTCCTTCCTGTTACAAAAATTATTATTATTTTTACCACAAAATTGTATTTGAAAATTCCTATAAAAGTAGAAGTTTTTACTCAAAATTTCAATCACACTTGGGTGGGTTTCATGTCATTTTGAAACTCCCTGAGTGTGATTCAATGTCGGTTGACTTTTAAATTTACCAATTTTTAATTTTTTTCTGAAATATTTTAATAAATGAAAAAAAAATCCAAAATTTTGGTAAAATTAGAAAAAATAAAAATGATAAAATTTTAAACAAAACTAGAAAAAATGTTCAATGATTTTACATAAATCTCCATTTTAGAGCATTTCACCAATTTTTTTACATTTTTAAAATTATTTTACAATTCTCAACAGGTTGACAAGACTGAACAGCCCATAAAGAACATCAAAAATGAAAAACAAAGTTGATCTTTAATTTCTTCAATTTGTTTTATTTTTATTAAATTTTAATATCCGAAACTGAAATAATTTAAAAAATAAATTTTTGCTGCATTTAAAATTTAAAAAAATTTTGTTTTAATTTATTTTGTTTTTACAAAGTTGAACTTGTAAGTTAGACTAGCATTGAACATTACATGATCTTAGCAAATCACCTTCGTCACCTCAACACAAAACCTTCAATTAATTTCATTGAATACTGTTAATTTTTTGCACAATTTAATCTCAATTTTTAAATCTTTAATTTTTCACCTAATTTGTCACGATTTAAGCTTAAATTCATAGAAATTCCAATCTTTTATTTTAGATAAGCGCTGTCAACATGCGATCGCTTAATTGACCGATCTGTGTCTATCTCAACTTAAAATCATCAGATGCATTGCTATATAAACTCAAGTCAGACTCACAGCTTGCATCAGAAAAATTAACAATTTGACTGTTTTAAGTTTGAAAATCAAAAAAATGAAGACTACATTAATAATTTTAGTGATTGTAGCAGTTGTTGCTGTTACCTTAGCTGCACCACAGGACTTTACAACACAAAATGATCAAATGCATGGACAAGGTGGTCAAGGAGGTCAAGGAGGTCAAGGTTTGTCAGGATTTAATAACATTTTCTTAGATTTTTTAGAAATATTTTCATAAATTCAAAGTAAAAGTTCGATTATTGGTACATCACATTACATTTTGGATTGATATTACATTACCTGGACATTGGCGTCGAATTGTAAGTGAAATGATGATAATGAATCCGGGTAAAATGTCTTTAATTGGTACAATATTCTCACAATCTCATCAAAATTAATCGAACCTCAAACTTCAATAAATCCAAAAAATAAAAATTAATTAAAAACTATTCAACAGGCGGAAAGGGGGGTGGTAATGGACAAGGGGGTGAAGGGGGACAAGGAGGTCAGGGTGGAGGCAGGGGACCACCAGAAGGTCGTGGACCACCAGAAGGTCGTGGACCACCCCAAGGAATGGGTGGAAAAGGAGGACAAGGAGGTCAAGGTGGCAAATGAGGATGAAACCAACAAAATTAATTCCAGGAACGATAGAGTAAGTTTGAAGCTAATGTGAATGCATCTAAACTTAAAAAGAAATGTGTGAAGGAGCCTGAACTTTAGCAATCTATTGTAAATAAACTAAAAATACAATCCTCAAGTGTGAATGCTTCATAACTTAAAATCTCTAGTGTGAATGCACCTTAATGACAAACAGCTAGTGTGAAGGCACATTGATTTCATTATTTGTAGTGTAAAGACACCTGAATCTCAAAAAGTGTAGTGTGCAGGCATCTTAATTTCAAAACACTTGTTTAAATGCACCTTGATTTCATGAAGCTATTGTAAAGGCACCTTGATATCAAAAAGCTAGTGTGAAGGCACCTGAAACATAAAATTCTCGCGTGAGAACCCTGAAATTTAAAATCAGAATGTAGTGGCACCTGAATCTCAAATTACTTTATGTGAATGCACCTGAACCTAGTAGTACAAGTGTGAAGGCACCTTAAATGTAAATTATTAATAATAAATTTTTAAATTTAATTATTTTCTTTACAGTATGAAGCTTATATGAAACCAATTGAAGTATTTGAAGAGAACTTTTTATTTTAAATTGAACAAAATGTCGAAAAATCTTGAATAAAAGAGAAAAATAAAGCGAATGAACAATATACAGCTAATTAAAGGTTTTTTGATCCATAGATTCAAATAATCAATCAAAAAATTTTAGTGCTCATTGTTATTAATTGTTAAGCCACTTAGTCATCATATGAGTTAAAAAGCTCAAACTTCGTTTGGAAAATTTACAATTGAATAAAAAAATTAATTAATGTTCAGCATGTATGAACGTGTCCTACATTAATATTCTATTTCCATTAGAAGGTAACACTATGAAAACTTTTTGGACTTGATTCAAATTTATGAATTTAAGAACTTTCAGGATATTAGCCAAAATATTGTCAACAATATTATCTTAATAAAATTAAAATTTTTTATCTTGTTTTATAATTTGCTAATTTTGGAACCTCCTGGAATTGAAAGGAATGCTTTGTTTGTACTTGTAAACTTAAAGTATGAAGAAAGTGAGATCACAAGCTGAAGAAACTATAAACCCAATTAGAATCAAGCATTCGATACTCATCAAAACCCTCTAACGACAGCTGACTAGTGCACTTGCTCGCAATCAAGGCGTGGAAACTAAGGATTAATCATGGAAAATCCCAAAAATCCTAAAAAATCCCTGAGCCAATAAACATGGAAATGTGAACTCCCTTTTAAATCCCTGATGCATTTGATGAATAGTTTCGGGATTTAAAAAGGATTTCACATTTCCATGTTTATTGGCTCAGGGATTTTTTTTAGGATTTTTAGGATTTTTCAGGATTAATCCTGAGTTTCCACGCCTTGTTTGCAATACTTGAAATTTGCAAAATGATGTGTTTTTGTAATTCATCGGTAAAAAGACATGGACTTTTATGCTATGGTTAAGTTTCTAGCGCTACCTTCGAATTAATGATCGATTGATTAGGTTTAGACGATGCTAAGCTTTATTATAACTAAGGCACAGCATCTTAAACAGCCCTAGAAACAGAAAATCAACAAACAGTGCATGAGATCTATAAAATTGTCTTTATTGTTGGCCCCAAACCTAGCAAAAAAAAACAAATTTTTACTCTAACACATAAAAAGCTCAATAAACCTTTAGCTACAATATCCACAACATGTTAGCATCAAAATCAATTACTCCACAAACTGAACAAATCCACAAAATAAACCATTAAAGTGCAAAAAATTTCTTTTATTTATTTTTTTTTAAATCAAGCTTCAAGTGACAACTTATAAGCTATTAACCGCGATTTGGTGGAAGTGGTGGTGGTGCTCTGTTGGAGTATTCTTCATAATCGTAATATTCTTCAGCTTCAGTTTCTTCTGGACTTGTTTTATTGTTCTTTCCTTTCTTTCCTTTGTCTGCGCTCTTTTCTTGTCCTTTTCCTTTTCCTTTGCCTTTACCTTTTCCATTTTGTGCAGGTTCCTCACCTTCAGAGTCTTCTACAGGTCCACCTTTACCCTTACCCTTGCCTTTTCCCTTTCCTTTGCCTTTACCTTTGCCCTTTTCAGCTGGTTCTTCACCTTCTTCAGTTTCTTCTGGTGCTGCTTGTCCTTTGCCTTTGCCTTTACCTTGGCTGTTCTCTTTGCCTTTTCCTTTTTCTACCTTCTTGTCGTTCTCTTTGTTGTTGTTTTTGTCATTTTTGCCTTGCTTACCATTGTTATCTGATGGTGGAGCAGCTAATGAGCAAGCCACAACAAATGCAACTAATAAAAATGCTACGACTAGCTTCATATCTTAATATTTGGATATTAAAATGGATTTTGAAGTAATTGAGATAGAAATTGTCAATTTATAGAGTTTTGCTTGGTCAATTTTGGAAGGACATCCAATGTCACGTTGAAAAACACTTGTTTGGTATGTTCAAGATGTTTTGCAATTTTTAACAACTTTTGTTTAATGTAGTAATTTTTCAGGGGGGTAACAACATGATGAGAAACTTTTTTATTAGTTTTTCAAGCAAATCAAAACTTGACGAGGAAAATGATGAAAAATCGATCAAAAATTTTAGAAAAAAAATCCCCATTATGTTGTTTTCCCCTTGTAGTTTGAAGCACCAAAAAAGGAAATGTTTAACAAATCTACTACAAAACTCATCAATTCTTTTATGAGTCTAGAACATTTCCAATGTCAAAACTTTTTTATTTTCAAAAATTCTAACCTAAAAAACTGTTTTAACTTTGAAAATCCGCAAATTTTAATATGAAATTTTAGTATAAAAATTCAAAAAATTTCAATAAAACTTCACAATCAGTTCTCATCCTTCCTCAAGTCTAAGACTCAAAGTCAAACTTAAAAACAATTCAAAAATGAAATTCGCCGTAGCATTCTTGTTGATCGCATGTGTTGTTGCATGTGCACTTGCTCAAGGTAAGTTTGGACATAGTGGGTTCAAGGGCTGCCTACTAGGTAGCGTCAGCTTCAATCAACTGTCTGAATTCAGACTTTAGAGCTTGATTGCACCTTTAAATAGCTCGATATTAATCAATACAGCATTAAATAGCTCATTTGACATTTCCACTAATTTCTGAAGCTTTATCTAAGCTCCAGCTTCTGATTCTCATTAGAATCATTCTTTATAACCTAATCTTGCATCTCAAAACCTTTCAGAAAGTGGCAACAAGAACAAAAATGGCGAGAAGGGCAGCAAGCAAGCTGGAAAGAAAGGTCAAAACGAAGGATCCACTAATGGTGAAGCTGGAAGTCATGGTAAAAGTGAAGGAAAGGGTAAAAATGGACAGCAAGGACAAAGTGGACAACATGGAAAGGGAGCTGACAACAGTCAAAAAGGCAAACATGGCAAAGGCAAGGGAGCTAGTGAAGAACCAGCAGAAGCTGAGTCTGCATAAGTTTAGTATGGATTGGGTCGACTTTAGCTGGTCCACAATATTGTCTTTATATCTTGAGTTCTTGAGCTGATCAGTAAATAAATAAAGTTTTATAATATTTTTGCATCTTAAAGATTTGGTTGTTGTTACTTTTTTTGGAATTTTAAAGTAGATCTTCTATATTGACCACTTCTATTAAGTCAGTTTCTCATAGCCTGCACTGACACCAAAAAATACCAATACCATACTATCTGATGAGATTTCAGCCTGAGTTACCAAAACTGTGTGCCACGGCACATTAAGACACTAAGGCAGTCTTGTTCAAACTTTTTAAGCTATAGCACACATTTGGGGTAAGCTATGACCGAAGTCGCACAAAAAATGGGGGTTGTGTCATTTTCAAATAATTTCAACTGCACACTAGTGTGCCGCGGCACACAGTTTGAACAACACTGCTTTAAGGTGTCATTTTATCCGGCTAGGACTTAACTGTTCGAAAAATTAACATAATTTTGAGGTTAAGTTGGCTTTAACCTTCAAATAATGATATTTAACCTCCAATAAGAGTTAAAGTATATTTTTTGAACTTATTTGTGTTAAATGAAGCTGATATTAAGCACATTAATTCCTTGGTCATGGTCAAATGTGGAAATTTTTGAAATCCAAGGGGTATACAACTATGACAAATAAGCAGAGATCGAAGCCGATTTTTTTGGCTTAACTCAATTTTTGATTTTTTTGATAGAAAAAAGCCATTTGACACCCATTTCAAGTATTTAAATTGAACTTTACACGCACTTTACATGATAAGCCGATCGGCTTAAATTTCGGCTTAAAATCGGCTAAATTGAATTCTGAGCTTACTATAGCTACATGCTGACAAAATATTACACAGAATCACAGAATCATAGCAAATAAGTGTTATTTTTTTTTGGTGAAGTTATGAAAACATTAGTTTGTGTTAAAACTTTTCTGTGCAAATTGAGTTTAAAGTTTCATGACAATTAGCCAAAAGAGGTCTAAAAGATCAAGTCCACCATACCCGATAGTATTTTTGATAATTATTTAACAGCAACACACATGATTAATAAAGTAAAGAACCACAAAGAAATTTAAATTGCAAAAATATTCAAGTTTATTTTATAAATTTTTCTATAATTATATTCGAATAGCACAGATCGGTAGACTTCGGAGCACCGGAAATCAGTCATGTTGTTTTTCTTACATTGCTTCGGATTCAGGTTCTTCAAAAATATCCAAAAAATTAGCAAAAATGATTAATTATCTTTTATAAATATTATTTACCAGATTCTGCGGCGTTAGCTGTGAAACAAAAATTCCAAAATGATTAATTCTTCATTAAATGTGTGCTAAAGTCAATAACTTACTCTTTCCCTTTCCCTTTCCTTTGCCTTTGCCTTCTCCTTTGCTTCCTTTCTCTCCTTTTTCTCCCTTACCTCCTTTTTCTCCCTTGCCACCTTTACCTCCCTTTTCTCCTTTACCTTTGCCTTTGCCTTTTCCCTCAGTTTCACTGTCTGATCCTGATGCTTCTTCACCTTCTGGTACTTCTCCTTCTGTGTTTCCCTTTGACTTCTTCTTACCCTTTTCTCCCTTCTTTTCTACTTGCTTACCGCCTTTTTGTCCTTTTTCGCCTCCATTTTCACCTGAGAATTAGAAAACAAAATCAGAATGAAAGGCAGAATTAGATGTTTAACTTTAGTGTGAAGGCACCTTAACCTAGCTACACTAGTGTGAAGGCACCTAAACCTGGCTACTCTTGTGAGAAGTTCCCTGAACCTAGTTAATCTAATGTGAAGGCACCTTAATCTAGTGACTCTAGTGTGAATGCACCTAAAGCTAGCAATTCTAGTGTGAGGGCACCTGAACCTAGCTTTTCTAGTCTTATGGCAACTGAACCTAGCTACTCTAATGTGAAGGTACCTGAAACTAGCTATTCTAGTGTGAAGGCACACGACTTTAGCTACTCTTGTGTAAAAACACCTGAACCTAGCTACACTATTGTGAAGGCACCTGAACTGCACTAGTGTGAGTGCACCTGAACTTGTAAAATTCTAGATTTAATCACTTGAAACTTACTTGGTGGTGCAGCAAGAGCACAAGCAACAACGCATGCAACAATCAAAAATGCAAGTGTAATTTTCATTTTTAATTTGATTTTTTAGAAGGATTTATTTGGTGAAATCTAGTTGAAATGAAACTGATGACATTCAATGAATTTTGAGGGCTTTTATACAGAATTTTTTTGGAATTTGTGTTCGGAGCTACACGTAAAAAAAGTTAACAATTACGAATTTGAAAAAAATTGTCAAAAATTAACATAACAATCCTTTTACATTGAAGAACATCCTGAACCGAAATTGTTTTTATTTTATTAATAAAAAAGATATTTTGCAACAAAAATAAAGCTGAGTATAAATTTGCGTAAAAATCTATTTAATTTTATCATTTATTGATCCTATCGAAGTTCTACAATGAATGTAACATTTTTATTTGTTATTGTTTGCTTTGTAGCTGCATGCTCATTAGCATCAGCTCGTTCGACAGAACCAAATGGTAAATAATCAAGAAATAGATAATTTTTCTTGATGTCTGATCCAATTCTTAATCAATTATTGTACATTAGAGAGTGAAGCTGAGTCTTATGCTCAAGAAACATCTCAAAACAGCCACAAGGCCAATAAATCCAACAAAGGGAAGAATGAAAAGGAAAAAAGCAACGGAAAGAACAAAAAAGACAAAGAAAAAGGCAACAAAAAGAAGCAAAATCAAGAAAATGAAATAAAAAATGGAAAAAATAAAGAAAATCAGCAAAGTTCACAGAATGAAAGTGAAAAAAGACCCAATCGTCTAGGCTGTAATGGAGCGCCTACACGTGAGTATTAATATTAAAGATAATAAATTATAGTTTGCTATATGTTTTTTAAAAAAGGTCCACCAACTGCTCAGCCAGAAGATCCACAACAATCTTAATATTATCACATTTAAATGACAAAATGTGTTTAGAAGTTTTTAATTACTGCAATAAATGTTTTTTGAATAATTCAGAATTTTTATAGTTTTTTTTACAATTTCGTACTTCCTTCCCCCCCCCCCCCTCCCCCCACCTAATCCTTCTGCCGAATTTTAGGGGATCAATACTAATATTGGATTGGTGTTGGTTTAAAACAAACATCAGGATACCCTTTATGATCCTAGTCAGAGGCATAGCCAGGAATTAAGAATGATAAGAAGGGGGGAGGGGGGGGGGTGCTGCAGGTTTGTGACTTTTTCCATAAAAAACCTTAGCAAAAATTGACGAAATTTATGTTGCCGAACATTTACGTTGCTTCAACTAACCTTGAGAATAACACAAAGGTTGACTCAACATCCAATATGAATCATACAAACTAAAATTTTAATCAAAACAGTCACCGGAAATGTAATTTTTGTCAAAAACTGCTTTAACTCTTGTCAATGTTTTAAAATCACAATAAAAAAATTGTCAAAATTTCCAAAAAAATTGCTCGTGGCTTTTTAAGTCAAACTTAAATTCATGTCAATCTTGTAACAAAAAAGTCAGCTGACATGTGATTTGCTATGTAGGAATTTGATATAAATAGCTACTAAAATTTGGATTCACATCACAGTTCTTTTTTGGATATCCATTAGTAAACTTTTCGTTGAGTAAAATTCAAAGATGAAATTCGTTACTGCACTTATTGTTGTCGCTTGTTTAGCTGCTGTATGCATGGCAAATGATGAAGAAGGTTCGTATGGAGTGTCTTTGCATTCCTAAGTATGATTAAGTACATGACTAGGTATGGATATGGTCAGAGATAGTTCTTGATTGTTTGGAGTCAGTGCATGGGTTTCTCATAAAGCTACAGCTGAGAATTAGGGCCGAAACTTCCATCAATTTGATTTCTAAATTACTAATTAATATTTAACATTTACAGCATCCAAAGCTGAATCAACAGCATCGCCATCAGCTCCAACTGCTGCACCTGTGCCTGCACCAAAAGCTAGTAAGTTCTTATCAATTTTATCACTTACTTAAGTTTTTTAAAAATCATCTCCCAACAATTAAGAACGTGAAGCTTGCGATAAAGGACAAGCCGGGCAGTCGTCATCCACAACTGGAACTGGAACAACAGAGAATGCAAACTGAAATATTTGAAAATTGACTCACATTATTTATGAATCACAAGAATTTAACCTGAAAATTTAATAAAAACAATTTATTTTTCACAAACAAAAAAAGCTTCCGTTTATTTTTATTTTTAATATTATTTTGTTCTGTGGTTTTTCATTTCTTAACTTTCTTAATCGTCATTTTTAAGCAAAACAAAATTCAATTCTTTTTTGTTCATTTCTTTTCTACCTCAATTTTACAAAAAGAACTTAAAAATTACCTCTAATATATGTTTGTATGTATGTGTGAGTGAATATTTTTATTTCATTGTATGTATGTGTGTGTGTGCTTCCATTTTATGAGATTAGAAAATTCATGAATGATGAAAATTACGAAAAAATTAGAAATTTCAAAATTTATTTTCCACCATAAATTTTACACATTGTTTTTTTTGGGAATTTTTTTAATTTATTTTTATTTTTCTTAAAGAGATCAGTGAAGTTTTATATTTTCTAGGTTTCTTTTTATTTATCATAATTTATAGTTAATATATGGTGTGTGTATTTTGTGTATGAATGTTTTTTTTGAGGACTAATCGGTGTTTGCTCATTTTTATATAAATCGTAGTTTAACACTCCATTTTCTGGGAAAAACGTAATTGAACACCCTTTTTTTCTTAGGAAAACGTAGTTTGACATCCAATTTTCTGAAATAATGTAGTTGAACAACCCTTTTTTTCTTAGAAAACGAAGTTGATCACCATTTTTTCTTAAAAAACGTAGTTTAACACCCTTTTTTCTGAGAAAAACATAGTTGCACACCCTTTTTTTTCAAGAAAAACGTAGTTTAACACCCCATTTTCTGAAAAACTATAGTTGAGCACCCCTTTTTCCAAGAAAAACGTAGTTGAACACCCCTTTTTCGAAGAAAAACGTGGTTGAACATCCCTTTTTTTCTTAGAAAACGTATTTAAACATCCCTTTCCCAATGAAATTAAAGTTGAACTCCCCTTTTTATAAGAATACTCAGTTGCATACTTCTTTTCATTATAAAATCATAGTTGCATGCCCCTTTAACCATCCAAGTAAATTCCAATAAATCTCCCAAGACAAGTCATAAGTTTTCTCTTTTAAAATGTTCCAGCTTAAGGTCAACGGTATCTTTATATTCTATATGGAACAATCCAAATGTCTTCAACTAATAAAGACATTTGGCAGTCCTGTTAAGTAACTCATAACATGTCTTACAAAATTTACTCCAAATTCTTAAAATACCTTTCAAAATGTGCATCTTTTAGTCCTCATACTTAGTTACAATAACATTATTTCTTATATCTGTATAAATTTTATTTTTTGATTATTTCACATTTTACAATGAGTTTTTTTTCAAAAATTTTTAAAAATTCTTTGTTTTGTTTTGTAAGTTCTTAAAATTTGATTTTCGGGTTTTCTTTTAGAAATTTCGGTTGGGGTTACTCAACGATGTCAATATTGATAGTTTTTGGTCGATATTGGATTATTTAAATTATTTGCTTACTAATTTCTGGAATTCTAACCTCAAATTTTTTAAAAATTAGAATTTTGACATGAAATTTGAGTTTCAGAGACAAATTGAGTTGAAAGGAGCTATTAAAAGCCTCCACAACCTCTTTATACCTTCACAATTCTCAATTTCATTTTAATAATTATACTTTATTATAAAATGACAAATTATGCGCCTTTTCTGGCAATATATTAAATGATATGATAGAAAATAGAAGGGTAGCACAGGTAATATAAGTAATACAATACGATTAAGGTAGAAGTGACTCAAACATTTACAATTTGAGTCAAAACTCACGATGAGTGTCAAAAGTTTTTAGTTTCATTGTTTAAAAGGGGGAAATGTAGACAGGGTGTAAATGTGCAAGCTATACATATTCCTTAAATCCTGTCTGCAAACTAACAAAAAAATTAGGGAAAGAAAATTAATTTATTACAATGTAGAAACAAGGTAGAATTTGGAAGCCACAATGAAGGGTCTGAGTTGCGTTTCTACATTCAAACTTAAGCATTTCTAATTTTTTTACCAATATTTTATTACTTTTGTGTATGACAAATGATTTATTTTGCACATTTTATGATTTTATATTCTAAATCCTGAACTCTTTTTGAGCTACAAAAATTTATTTCATGACGAAGTACACTCCTGGCTCTAATCTAATGTCTACTTTTGTGATTGACAGCTATTTGTTACTTTATAACCTCAAAATGCAGGCTCATAACCTCAAAATTCGTGATCATAAGTCTCAAAATTTAGGATCATAACCTCAAAATTCAGGATCATAAGCCTCAAAATTCAGGATCATAACCTCAAAATTCAGACTCATAACCTCAAAATTCAGGCTCATAACCTCAAAATTCAAGATTATAACCTTAATCAAGATCATAACCTAAAACTTCAGGATCATAACCTCAAAATTTAGGATCATAACCTCAAAATTCAGGATCATAAGCCTCAAAATTCAGGATCATAACCTCAAAATTCAGGATCATAACCTCAAAATTAAGGATTTTAACCTAAAACTTCATCAATAGCTGTCCTAAGTTGTGCATTTTGTTTCATTGTTATTATTATTATTATTTATTTGTCGACGTTACCGTCCGGAAGAATTAGTATTTATACATGTTTTACTTTTTACATTGATCAGTGATACATTTCATATCACTATGGGTGACGTAGAATCAAGCTTCTAATCTTCAAATCTAGGTTTCAAATAAACTAAGGCTCTCGTTTCAATCTTCTGTGGGCGTGACGTGATACATTTCAGGTCCGTTCTGACAATATTCCATTATAAGGTAATCTTGTAGCTCTCGTTCCTATTTCTCCCGCTACACTTCAAGTTCCTGATCCGTTCCTTAATCCAACGTTGCCCAAAATGCCCAATTATGGCTTGACTCGTACATTAAGCAGTCGAAGTATCTAAACTTCTGAAAAAGAACAAATTTGGAAATGGCTGGATTCGAACCGACGACCTTCGAGTTACCAAACCAAATTTGAGCCAAGCGCCTTACCTATTCGACCAGCAAGGCACTTAACTGCTTGATATTATATTTTATTTTCTTATGAGCTGCAATTCCATACGCTACTAAAACACATTTATAAAAATCCTAGGAATGTTTATCAAGTTTCTTGAGTTATATTTTGTTAAAAATGCAATGTATTCGCTGTTTTACTCAGGTTTCTCAATGATTCGACTAATTTGAACTCACTTTTCTTAAAAAATTACTAAAATACCTCACCTAATAATGAATTTGAAGCACGTAACTGGGAATGACTTAGTTTTTATCCTCAAGTTAAAGAAAGCTTTTTTTTGTTCTTAGAAAAAAGTTTGATTCTGGAAATTATTAGACTTAAATTTTGTACTTATCAAAAATAATCTGGCAGTAGAAAGATCTTATTTGGTCACTAAATTTTAATGAAAGAATGAAAACGAAATTTTGAAAATGTCAAATATTTTTTTGAGTATTTTGAATGAACTTTATTGGAATAAATTATGTTTTTGTCTTACAATTATTGATGGTGATGCGATTAGTATGACAATATATCAAAAATCTCTTCAATTTTGAGGTTAGGTTAAGAATGTTGACTTCCATGTACAGCGTGGAAGTTTGAGCTTCTACATTTCAGCACGGAAGTTTCTAATTCTTGGCTCCTAACCTCAATTAATTCATTATTTTCATGCAAAAAGCTAGAATACATCAATTATTCACCTTACAATCCAATTCCTTACCACCTAACCTATAAATCATAAAAATAACCTTCCGCGTGGAAGTTCATAAAAAAATAAAAAATAATAATAAAAAAATTTGATCTTTTTTTGTTTTTTTATTAAAAAAAATTTGAGTCAAAATATTGAAGACAAAAAATACAAAAAATAAAAAAAATTATTTTTAAATATAATAAAAAATTATGATGATGAGAAAATGTTTCTTTTTTGTTAGTTTTGATGGTAGTGGGTCATTGTGGTGGGGTCTAATGGCAGTTGGTTTTAAAAGTTTAACATTTTGCGCTTTAATTTCAATATTTGAAAATTATGACGCCAAAAATAGAATTATGAATTTTGAATTCATTTTTTGAGCACTTGTAGAGTTTTTGCTACGAAATTTGAGCTAGTAATTGTGCTAATTTGAGAAGTTATGGAAGATTTTGAGCATTTAGTGCCATTTTTTGGAAACACAACCCCAATTATTTGGATTTTAACCTCAAAAATTGAGATTATAACCTTAAAATTTGTGATTTTAACCTCAAAAGTTGAGATTTTAACCTACATTTTGGATTCTAACCTTAAATTTTGTATTCTTGTCTCAAAAATTAAGATTCTAACCTCAAAATTTTAACCTCAAAACTTAAAGTTCTAACCTCAAAATTTAAAATTCTAACCTCAAAACTAGGTTTCATCATCCAAATCATCAACCTCAATGACCCATAAAGCCTAAAGTAGCCAAAATTTTTATAACAAATTTGAAGATCCAGGAAGATCAAGCCAGCTAAAACCTAACTGTATCCACCTGCATCATCTTATTTCAAAATTCTAGCCAACTTTAGACAATAATTGCATGATTTCATGAATATTTTGACTATCATAATTAAAAATATTTTGTCATTTTCCAAAATATAAAAACAGAAATCATAAAAATAGTTTTAATAAAAAAAAATTTTTTGGTGGGAATCGAACGTTGTCATTTAATTTTAATTTTTTGAGATTTTTCTTTACTTTTGTAAAATTTTTCTGAGATTTTTTTCTTTTCAATACTTTCAAAAATATAGAAAAAAATGAGTGAATGTTTCAGTTGGAGTGTCTACATTATTTTTTTTTTATTTTATGTATATAAATGTCGTCTGAGTCACATGGATTCATTTATTATGTTTTTTTGTGCATTTCAGTTTTTTTTTCTCAATTCTATCTCAATTTTTCCCCGTTTTTTTTTAAGTTTTTCAATACAAAAATTCTCCTTTTTTTCGCTACAAAAATTTCTAAGCTAAAATTCTGTGTAAAAATTTTTTGCAAGCTTTTTACTTTCTTTTTTGAGCTGAAGATGTGGAAGGATGGTGTGGTTGGTTGGTGATCTTATGTTGATGGTGTTGTATGGAGCTACAATGATAGATGACTTTCAGATTTTGGTGGCTATGTTGGTGTAGTTGCACTTAGTAATGTACTAGGTACACTACTAGGTACAATACTAGCTACAGTACTTTGAACAGTACTAAGTACAGGAAGGTCTTTTATTAATTCTAGCACTGGATCTAGCACATCTTAACTAGTTACCAATCCAGATACACTGATAGAACCTTAATAGACACTATCTTCACACCAGAACACCTATCAGTAGCTACTGACCCTTCTTTAGGTTTGCTTTAGTTCTAACCATGAGCATAACAAGACAAACCTTAGTCAGAACATAATCTCAACCACAGTATAACAAATTATTATCAAAATTTGCCAATTAACCAAACCAGAACCTCCCAATCTCAGGATTTTTTGAGTCTTTAATATGCGCAAATTCTTTTTAGTTGTGGAATAGAGGATGAAATGACTTTGAGGGAGTTTTAGCCCTTTTTATTAGATTCTGTTCTGTATTGATGGCTTAATGTCTGTTTTGGATTAGTTTATGTTCAATTTATGAAGCTGTTTTTCGTTGATAATTAAAATATCAGGATAATATTTTAGAATCTAGATGAGAAGTTTGAGCATTTCAAGACATTTTTGAAATTTTTTGATGAGTTTTGTGACAACAGACTTGAAAATCATACAGATATGACAAAACACACTTGAAGTATCAAAGTCTTGAGACAACAGACCATCGAACAAGCTCCAAAGTCTACAGTAATAAGACTACAGACTTTTGCAGAACCTATTCAGAAAAATGAAAATCAACCCCAAAAGTCCCAATCCCATTCCACAACTCTATTTTCATCTACAATTGAGTCCACATGTTTTCATTTCATTTTGTTTTTTATTTTTCCTACTTCTTAAAAATTTCTAAAATTCATCTTTTTTACGTGTTTTTTGTCTTCATCTTTGAGAGATTTTTTTTTTGTCTAAAAAGATTTCATTTTTTAAATGCCTTCCCAGCATGGAAGTTTAAAAAGTGAGGAAAAATATTAGAAAGGAAAAATTCATACACATTTTTGTTTTTTGTTATTATAGTAATTAAATATGCTGCTTAGTTTTTGCTATTTTTTGTCAAAAAAATTGCAGAAATAATAAAAGCTTTGGAAGGGTTTTCGGGGTCTGGTGTGGAAGTTCATGGGTATGGGTGCTGGTAGGAACATTATCGAAGATTTATGGAATCAAATTATGATCTTTGGTTGTATTTTGATTAAAAACTTCCACGCTGAGCCATCAAAACAACCTTAACTCTTGAACTTCCGCACCAACCCAAATCCCTTCATCGCAAAACTAAAGAAAAATTTAAAACTTAAAACATTTTTCATCATAATTTCAATTATCATAATATTATATTAATTATTAATTATTATTATATTTTCAATTAATTATTCATTTTTTCATTAATTAATTATATATTCAATGAGTATGTGACTTAACTAAATTGTTGGATTTTTCTTCATTTTTTTTCTTAAAAATTTTCATTTACTTATTTTTTACTTTTTTTTCAATCAATTTATCAATTTTTTGTATTAATTCTTTTTTTTATTTGGGATAAAAATGTGTGTGTGTGTGTGTAATCTTATGTATGTATGTGTGTATATTGGGGGGATATAAATCGGGGACAAGGGGGGCATTACAGATAGATTACAGATGCATTATTTTTTTGTTCTTTTTTATATTATAAGAAAAAAGGAAAAATTTTACAAATTACAGACATTTTATACTTCATTTATATTTTATATTTTTTTTTATTCTTTCTTATGTATGTGTGTGTGTGTGTGTGAAAACATTTCTTCTTTCATTTTTACTTTCTTAAATTGTGAAAACTTTTTTACTTTCTTTTGGGATGCTGAAAACTTTTTAAAATGATGGCGGCGCTTACTCTGCTGCTACTTCTTTCTCCTTGTTCTCATCGATCTTCTCATCGACCTAAAATTAAAATTTGAATAATTTTTTTAGTTTGAATTTAAAAAAAAAATGTTTAAGGTGTCTTCACACTAGAAAAATTTTGCTCAGGAGCCTTCACACTAAAGTAGCAAATTGCATGTGCCTTTACACTAGAGTAGCTAGGTTAAGGTGGCTTCACACTAGAGAAGCTAGGTTCTGGTGCCTTGATACTAAAGTAACTAGTTTCAGGTGCGTTCACACTAAATTAGCTAAGTTCAGGTGCTTCACACTAGAGCAACTATTTTTAGGTGCATTTACACTAGAATAGCTATGTTCAGGTGCATTCACACTAGAGTAGCCATGTTTAGGTGCATTCACACTAGAGTAGCTATGTTCAAGTGCCTTTACACTAGAGTAGCTATATTCAGGTGGATTCACACTAAAGAAGCTGGGTTCAGGTGGCTTTACACTAGAGTCACTAGATTTAGGTGCCTTAACACTAATTATTAATTAAAAAAAAAAAAAACCTTTACCCATTCAGATCAATTGTGATCCAGAGGTGCGCTAGGGCGATTCGCAGCTAATGAGAGTTTAACGAGTGAGGATGCGCCAAACCACTGCACTCAAAACTAGACCTACAATTTATAGTGGGATCCGAACCACTCCTTTGATGACATTTCTGTCTGTAGCCTACAAAGGAAGGCTGTGAGCCTCATTTCCAGTACATATGATTCGAAAAAGAACAAGTGAAAAATTTCCCATACCCAGTCTCGAACCCATGATCGCTGTGTCGGTATTGCAATAATTAGGTACCGAAGTACTAAACCATTCCGCCACCGAGCCACTTCAGCTCACTCTAATTATTAATTACTCTCTTGATTAGCTAGGTTCAAGCGCCTTCACACTAGAGACTAATGCCACAAATTCTATAAAACCTACCTTTTCTTTAACTAATTCCTTATCGGATTCCTTTTCCTCCTCAGCGGCTTTTTCTGTGTCAGCGCCTTCTTTGTTCTCCTTGACTTCTGGTCTGCTCATTTTCAAAGTTTTATTCAATTTGATTGGATGAACGTTGCACACGTGTATGAAAAGAAAGAGAAAAAAAGAAAAAAAATAAAGATCAGTGAAATGTGATAATTGGAAATGCCAAAATTTCTTTTGTATATCTGAGATTTTTTTTTTTGCTGCTGATGACGAAGAAAAATTCTTTTTTATCTCCTTTGATTGAGTTTTTGGAATGCCTTGATTAGAGATTGAGAGGGTTTTAGATTAGAAGATTAGAAGATTTGTGGATTAAACTAGTGGCATGATGTTGAGTCGAAGATGTCATTTTTCCCATCAAAATTTATGAACTCCCGCTAATCACTATCAAATTCCCATGTCCCCATATTTCACACGTCTCAAAACCCACAACTTCAAAGACTTCTTCTTAATGTTTATTCAAATTCCGTCCTAATCTCCCCTCATTCACCAAATAAATCTTCCTCTCACGTCTCACTCGAGACATCTCATTATTTAAATTGAGAACATAAACAATTAAGGAAAAGAAGCCGAAGCTTCTGTGTGTCAAGCAGAAAACAAACAAGACAATAAGCAAGAAGAAGCACCAGAACTACTTCAAAATAACAAATTAAGATGAAATGAGATCTGATATCAAAAAGGAGGGAAGATCGCTGTCGTGTGTGAGAATGAAACTAAGTCTGTTTGTAAATAAGACAATGGGACTTTTTTTTCATATCTTCTGAAATGAAATGGAAAGTGTGGGCAAAATAAAAATTTATGTAAATTTATGCCGTGTGAGAATTCTTCGTTGCAGACGACATCTTAAGTTGGTGAGACATGCGAATGGAATGTTGAAGTGGATTTACGGAAGATATTTGCATGTGATATGAATGACTTTACATGAAATTTAAATTGAACTTTGATGTCTCGTGATGAAAAAGCTGTGATAAGATTCCAATTAGTGAATTTTATTGTTCAGGTGCCTTCACACCAGAATAGCTAGCTTAAGGTGCCTTCACACTAGAGCAGCTAGTTTCAGGTGCCTTTTCACTAGAGTGACAATGTTCAGGTGCCTTCACACTAAGGTAACTAGTTTCAGGTGCCTTCACAATAGAGTAGCTAGGTTCAGGTGCCTTCACACTAGAATAGCTAGTTTCAGGTGCCTTCACACTAGATTAGCTGTGTTCGGGTGCCTTCACACTAGTGTTCTAAAGTTCAGGTGCCTGCACGCTAAAGTTCTGAAATTTAAATTCCTTAAAGCTAAGGTTTTGAGGTTTAGGTGCCTTCACATTTGAGATCTGAAGTTCAGGTGCCTTCACAGAAGCGTTTTCATGTTCAGGTGCTTTCACACTATCTTCAACTATCAAAAATTGTCTACTTTCATTTCCATTTCCTCTGATTATCTCTCTCAAAAACATCTTCCAATTTAAATTTTCACTTTTATTTCCCCTCCAAGATCATCTTTGCTGCACACATCGCTTGTCAAGTCCGCACCCATTATGTTGACTTGAAAAACATACACGAAATGACATTGATTAAGATGACTCAATTTACTTCGAAGCTACTAAGTTGTCATGATGTTTATATTCATTGCACATGGAGAAATCAGCAGTGGGTCATTTAAGAATGTGGAATGTGTGAGGAAATAATAAAAAATAATATTTTGAGTAGAAAAGAATGTAGATTTAATTGGTTTGGATGACTAAGATGGCGTGTGATGACGACGATGGGAATGCTTGATGGATTATTTATGATTATGCAATGGAGCTTGAGATTTAGTATGACTTAGAAGATTTTTGGTAAGTTGTGCGTCATATTCTGTAGAGACACTTTACTGTCTTCCTAAAATGGCGCACAAAAAATTATTCTGTGAATTTTGAAAGGTTGTGAAGGTTTTTATTCGAAAAACAAGAGATTAAGCCTGCATTCAGTTAGTAAACAACAGCTCAACCAATTTTACCACACATCGACCCACCGAACCAATCAAATTATATCAGATCTCACCCAGCTTCTTACAAAACAGTCAATAAATAATTCAATAACCAAAAAAATCCTTCACAGACTCATAAAATTCAAAATAACCAATAAAATGAGAGAGATCCAATCCATAACAAAAGAATCTCCAACAATGCCAATAAAGAAGATGAATGATGGTGCATGTAAGCATATAAACTATTAATAATTGATACATTATCTCTCATGGCTACCGTGAAGAGCCTTCATAAACAACTCAAATAAATATTAAGGGACGAGATAAAAAAAATTTAATTTCTATTTTTATTCATCAGCAAGATGATGCTGCGATGTGTTTTTCCTCTCGAAGACGAAAAAAGGTCAAAAGGTTGTGAATTATTTGAGTTAGAAGTTAGAAAAGGATAAAAATAGAAACATTTTTGTGAAGCTCAAATCGATTTTTTTTTGGTAAATAAATATTTTCATTTTATATTTTCTTGGTTAATGATTTGGAAGCTGCTAAAGGCGATGTTATTAAAGTTTGAGAAGAAAATGAAGAGAAAGTTAAAAACTTGAGGCGATCAAAATGAGAAATTTTTGTGAGAATCTTAATTTTTTGGGATGCAAGAAGAATGAGGAATGGAACTTTGTGGTTTGCAATCAAATTTCCGATTATTTTCTAATTAAAAGTTTAAAGGAAAACTTTGTGCGATATTTTTTGATGGAGACATTACTGTCTTCCTAAAATGGCGCATGAAATATTTTTTTTTGCAATTTTTGTGATTTTTTGATCACAATTTAATTGTTCATCTAGAATATAATGCACAGAAGACCACCTTACAGTCTATTCCTAAATATTGCGCACAAAAAACAATTTTATTAATTTTTTTCTTATCGAAATCTTAGTTTTTCCAACCGTTTATCTCCTTCATTTGTCTTCCAACTAACTTCTCATTCATTCCCCACCCCCATCCTCTTAATAATAAATAATTCCATTCATTCTTATCATTATGACAATAAAAAATGGCAAAAGAACATTTCTTTCTCATCTTCCATTCCACCCAAACCCATGAAACGATGAATAAAGCAACGGAATGTGATTGATGAAGTAAATGGAAGAAGCTAATGGATGTAATGAGAGATGAAAGAGTCAATAACAACAAGTTTCCTTTTGTGTTTCACTTTATTCACTTTTCTTTATTTCTGCCGATGTCAGTTAAGGGAAAATCAATAAGAACGAAAATAATAAATTTGATACTTGAGTGAATAAAAGAATTTTTTTTGATGAAAAAAGGAAAAAAAAAATGAGGAAAATTGTCAATAAAGAATGTGGAAGAAAAGGTCAAGAAAGAGGAAGGCATTGAAGTTCATTTTTTATGATGATGATAAAGTTATCAGATTCAGGTATAAATTGTGATAAAGATAATGATTATAATGTTCTTGGGGACCGAGAATTGAGGATTAAGAGATTAGTTTCTATGGCATTAATATATTTTTGAGATTTGTGGGTGAAATAATGACGACTTGTTAATAAGCTTTGACGGAATTCTTTAAGAATTCGGTCATAAAATTTGAAATTGAGATTTAGTGCCATGTTTTGATGGAAACTGCAAAGACTTCCACTAAAGTGCTCCATCTAGAGCAAACTTCCTTTCAAATAATCCAAAAAATAAAATAATTATGTGCGCCATATTTGAGGTAAACAGTAATGTCTCTCCCCAAACTAACGCACAAAGTTAAAATCCCATCAATCTAAAATTTAAATAACAATTTGTATTAAACAAATATTCTCATACTAAACATTCCATTCGCATGCCTCGCAGGCATCTCCGATTAATAAACAAAACAGTTTAAACAAAACCTTTTCGCATGAATATCTTACAATTCATAATCAAATTCTATGAACTACTAAATCAATTAACTCTCATTAATGCTAGAAACGCGTTGATGACGAAGATGTGAGAAATTTTTCTGTTTCGGATGTAAATCATTCAATTTTATAGGAAATAAATTAGTAGAAGATGAAGATTTGATTGGGGAGTCTTAAGTGAGATATTTTTACAGTCGGAAGCTGAATTGAGAGTTTTTATTGGGAAGAAAATGTGAGTCATTGCAATGAGATGGAGAAAAATTCGATATCGAGCAAAATTGGATGCGATATGGACGATTTTAGAGAGATTTTTTTTGGATGACTTGAGCTGAAGTTGTGGTTTGATGATTTAGTTTTTGATAATTAGGGTAATTGAAAGGTAACTGAATCACAGTTTATGCATAAATCATCGAATAATGATATTTTAAGCTGAATGTTTAAAGATGATAAAGAAATAGTTTGGGACGTGCGTCATATTTGGGAAAACAGTAAACTATTTCTCGGAATATGACGCACAAGAACTCAAAATTTGATTTTTTTTGGTCAGAACCTAACTTTCTGCTTTATATTTCTGGAAAAAGAAAAAGTCTCTCCCAAATTTTGGCTCACAAAATCAAGTAAAGTCAATGTTTTAACCCAAGTCTATCTATAAACTTCCTTACTCCATTAGTAAGTTCCATTTAAATCCATATCAATATCATTCAATCCTAATTACCCCTATAATCATCAAAAAATCTTTCAACTACTCACAAACTTACTTTATATGTCACATGCAGTCATGTTCATGTCTAAAACATTCCAACATGATCGTTGACCTCCATAAAAAAATTAAATGCTTGATTTCTACATGATATGTGTGAGTTTATTAACAACTTTCATTAATTTCTGTTCTGCCACAACGATGACATCTTTTTTTGATCGTATTTTATATTTTTATTAATCATGATGAATGTTAATTGGAAATTAAACAATTATGTTGGAGTTTAAATGGGTGCGGATGGATGGGAGCTGGCAGATGGTAAGCTGGTTGGGATATGGAGCTTAGCCAAAGAGCAAGGGGTTAAACTAAGTCTTAGTGTGCTAAATAGACAAGCTGTTTGGATCATTGAAATCAGAACTGGTAGGACAGTCAATAAGCATATTCAGGAAGAGACTTTACAGTTTACCACAAAATATGACGAACAAAATTAACTTTTTTTATTAAA